GCCTTGGATGAAAGGCCTGGTGATCTTCTGAAAACTCAGCCATTGAAAACCTTTGTCATGGATTGAATTACATCCCCCCAAAAATGTGTGTGTCAGTTTGGCTGGGCCATGATTCCCAGTACTGTGTGGTTGTCCTCCATTTTGTGATTGTAATTTTATGTTAAAGAGGATCAGGGTGGGATTGTAACACCCTTACTAAGGTCACATCCCTGATCCAATGTAAAGGGAGTTTCCCTGGGGTGTGGCGTGCACCACATTTTATCTTACAAGAGATAAAAGGACAGGGAAGCAAGCAGAGAGTTGGGGACCTCATACCACCAGGAAAGAAGCACTGGGAGCAGGAGTGCATCCTTTGGACCCGGGATTCCTGCGCGGAGAAGCTCCTTCCTCCGGAGCCGACAGAGAGAAAAAGCTTTCCCCTGGAGCTGACACCCTGAATTTGGACTTGTAGCCTACTAGATTTTGTGAAAGAATAAATTGTTCTTTGTTAAAGCCATCCACTTGTGGTATTTCTGTTATAACAGCACTAGATGACTAAGACAACCTTATAAGGCACAGTTCTACTCTAACACACATGGGGTCACCATGAGTTGGAATCAACTTGATGGCAACTGGTTGGTACTAGTTAGTCAGGTCAAACTGCAATGTTAGCCGGAACAGAGACTGGCAATGGAGTGCAGTGGTTAATGGCACAGATGCTAGAGTCAAACTGCCTGTGTTGGAATCCAGGTCCTGCCTCTCACTAGCCAGGTGTCCTCAGGCAAGTTACTTAACGTCTCCGTGCCTCAGAGTCCTAACCTGTAAAATGGGGATGAAGGTGCTAACGATGTTTCGAACTGAGTAGGGTTGTAGTGCGGATTAGATGAGTTAGTATGGCTGAAATACTCACAGAGCACTGTAGGAGCAATTGCACCCACTAGTTATCTCTCGGAGAGCCTAGTAGCCTGTCGAATAAATGGCTTAATCAGTAAATTCATGCCGATTTCTATAACTTTTTCTTGCATAAGCAATACACATAGGTTGTTTTTTTGTTGTTGTTACTTGCTGTTGAGTAGATTCCGATTCAAGGCACCCCCATGTGTGCAGAGTAGAACTGCTCCATAGGATTTTCAAGGCTGTGAGCTTTTGGAAGCAGATCGCCACAGCTGTCTCTCAAGGCGCCTCTGGGTGGGTTGCAACCATCAGCCGTTCGGCTAGTAGTCGAACGCTTAACCGTATGCACAGCCCAGGGACATGTACAAAGTATAAAAATTTAAAAGTTGCACACAAGATAATAGAAAATATATAAGGAAAATACACCCACACCAGTAATGCCACTGCCCAGAGATAAATCACTATTCTCACTCATTGAAACAACATTTACTGAGCACGTAGTATGTGAAGGCTTCCTGCTCTTGTGGGGGATATAACCATCAGCCAAACCAGACACAGACCTTGCCTCATGGAATTTACAGTCTAGAGGGGGTGGGGGAACAGACCTTAGGTAATGATACAATACATGCAAAGCTGCAACTGGGCTGAGTGCTATGAAGGAGAGGCACACTGTAATCGGGAGATCCGCCCTACTGGTGAAGGGCAAGGAGGGCATCCCTGAGGAAGTGACTACTGAGCTGAGGATTAACTCAGAGAAGTGAGAAGGGAAGCGTGTGTCCCACAGAAGCACAGCATATCCAAAGGCCCTGCCATGAGAGGAAGCCTGGTGAGGGGAAGGGAAATAGAGGAGCGCTGGTGGAGCAGTGGTTAAGAGCTCAGCTGGTGACCAAAAGGTTGGCAGTTCAAATCCACCGGGCACTCCTTGGAAACCCTATGGGGCAGTTCTGCTCTGTCCTACAGGGTCGCTATGAGTTAGAATTGACTTGACGGCAGTGGGTTTTAGTGTCCCTGGAGAGTGCGCTAGATAAAGCTGGTGTGTCAGAGAGAGACTGGCCAGGCAGAGCTTAGTATCTTCAGTTTAGAAATTATATTCTTCATTCAACAAATAATTATTGAGTGTCTGTGAGAAGCCAGAGGAGCTCTGGTGGTACAGTGGTGAAAGCACTTGGCTGCGAACCAGAAAGTTTGGTGGTTCGAACCTACCGGCTTCTCTGAGGGAGAAAGATATGGCAGTCTGCTTCTGTAAAGATTTACAGCCTTGGAAACCCTATGGGGTAGCTCTGCTCTGTCCGGTAGGGTTGCCATGAGTTGGAATCGACTAGACTGCAGTGGGTTTGGTTTGGGCTTGGTTTATGAGAAGCCGGGAACACACTTTTTTACACAAATTGGATTTATACCATATACTGCTTTTATTATGAACATCTTTTCATCAATAAATCTACGGTATTTTAACCACTGCTAGTATTGGAAATTTAGACTGTTTCAAATTTTTCACTATTATTAACAGAGAATACCAGAAAGATGTTTTACCTGTGTTTTATTGACGACACAAAAGCATTGGACTCTGTGGATCATAACAAATTATGGATAACATTGTGAAGAATGGGAATTTCAGAACACCTAATTGTGTTCATGAGGAACCTGTACATAGACCAAGAGGCAGGCATTCAAACAGAAAAAGGGGATACTGCGTGGCTTAAAACCAAGAAAGGTGTGCATCAGGGTTGTATCCGTTCACCATACTTATTCAATCTCTATGCTGAGTAAATAATTTGAGAAACGGGACTACGCGAAGTAGATCCCAGCATCAGGATTGCAGGAAGACTCATTAACCACTTGCCATGCAGATGACACAATGTTGCTAGCTGAAAGTGAAGAGGACTTGAAGCACTTACTGATGAAGATCAAAGACCACAGCCTTCGGTATGGATTATATCTCAACATAAAGAAAACAAAAGTCTCACAACTGGACCAACAAGCAACATCATGATAAATGGAGAAAAAATTGAAGATGTCAAGGATTTCATTTTACTTGGATCCACAATCAACACCCACGGAAGCAGCAGTCAAGAACTCAAACGACGCATTGCATTGGGCAAATCTGCTGCAGAAGACTTCATATGCATGTAAAAGCTGGACAATGAATAAGGAAGGCCAAAGAAGAACTGATGCCCTTGAACTGTGGTGTTGGCGAAGAATATACCATGGACCACCAGAAGAACGAACAAATCTGTCTTGGAAGAAGTACAGCCAGAATGCTCCTTAGAAGCAAAGGTGGTAAGGCTTTGTCTCACATACATTTGGACATGTTATCAGGAGGACCAGTCCCTGGAGAAGGACATCACTGTTGTAAGATAAAAACATCACAAAATTTAGTAAAGGAAAATATAGTTTTGTAACCGGACTGTTCCAGGCCTGCTCGGCGCGGCCACAGAGATATGAAACGGGTGAAAGTGAAAGAAGCAGCTTTATTTGGTTGGCCAAGCAAAGAAGCACACCGAGACTTCCCTCATCAAGATGTCTCCTAGAACAATAGCCCAAGGGGTTTATATGGGTGAAGTAAATTGGGTCTGGCGTCTTCAGGAACGCCTTGAGGTGGGGCCAGCTTGCTGATTGGTCTGGCCCAAAAAGGTGTTCCCAGGGCAGTCTGGCCTTTCTGCCCTCGTTCAGTCTAAAAAGGGGGCGGGGGTCTCTCAAACTGGCTCTTAGGCTGGGACCTCTCACTTCCAAAAGCCTTCCCCCAATCTTGGGCCGCTAAATTTTGGTTCCATCCAGTGGAAGAAGAGTTCTGGGGTCACCAGAGAACGGGTCGGGGGTTGATGGTTCTGTGCATGTCGGCGGGCCAGATCTAGTTCTTGCCAGTTTCAGCTGGTCCTGCAACCCCAGTCTTGTTTCCCTCAACTTGGCCAGACACAGGAAGCACACCTAAATAAGGAGATAGCTTAAAGACAGGAAGTTAGTTCCTATATCACAGAAGATGGCAGGCACAGCCCTTTGCTTATTCAACATGGCAGGCAGGCTGCTGGTCTCAGTTTTATTCAGGCAAACGTTGGAAACGGACAAGCATGCTGCCAGAGCCACATCTGCCTGAATCCAAGGAATATTCCAGAACAGACGAAAGTGGGAAAACGGACAAGCATGCTGCTAGAGCCACGTCTGCCTGAGTCCAAGGAACATTAGAGTCATCAGTATATATTAACATTACCAATGGGCAAAACCACTGAATGTTTCACCTTTCAGATTGGCTAGAAACTGTGATCCTACTTTTTGAATCATCTTTCTTAACAATCATTGGTACAGGTTTCAGTAACAACAGTCAGGAGGGTCTTCATTGGTTCAACAAATTTTCTATTCATTAAATTTTAATAGAAAAAGATAAGACTGGAAACTCTTTTGCGCTCTGTTTTATTGGTTTGTTTGTGTGAAAGTTTCCCTAAAAGGTATTTTTCAAGATCGTCCTACCTACCTATTGTCTTTATATCTCAAGGCCCAGTTGATGAGTCCTTGTGAGTACAGCTCCAGCTGGGTCACATTCTCTATGCTCAAGGACAGGAAATAATGACTCCAATATTATTTCCTAAATCATCATGCTTGACGAAGTAGAGGGTCAGCAAAAAAGAGGAAGACCCTCAGTGAGATGGATTGACACAGTGACTGTGACAATGAGCTCAAACATAGCAACTATTGTGAGGTTGGCGCAGGACCAGGCAGTGTTTCGTTCTGTTTTTACATGGGGTCACTGTGAGTCGGAATTGACTTAAGGGCACTTAACAACAGTTTACCATGTGCCAAGCACAGTGCTAATCACATTACATGGGTTATTCCTTTTAAATCACAGGATGACGCTATGAAGTAGGTATCATCATTGCCCCCATTTCCCAGAGGAGCAATCTGAAGCGAAGGGAGTTTGGCACTCGTCCATTATGACACGGCTACTATGTGGAGACTGACCCCACTTCTGTTTGTAAACTGAAGAGATGAAGAAAAGGGAGGCAGGCCAAGAAAGAAAACACAAAACGGAGAGGCGCAGCAAAGAAAAAGAGCCTAAGCAGCCGGGCAGAAGAGTCCGGGGACGCCTCCCATCGGCCACCTCGCAGCCCGAATTCTTCCTACCTCCCGCGGGCGTCACTAGTGAGCGCCTTGCGTCGCGCCCCTCAGGTTCATGGGGCGTGGGTCGTCGGCGAGGAGGCGGGCCTTCCGCTCCCGCGCCAAGCTATTTCCGGCAGGAGCCGGAAGACAGTCCCGGATGGGGTCAGGGGCGGTCTGTGCGTGGAGCTGAGTTCGGGGGCGGCCGGCCTTCCCGCGCGCGTTGCGAGCCACATGCTGCGGGCCGCATCCGCCAGTCCCCGCTCGGACCAGCGGCGCTGAGGCGCCCGAGCAGCGCGCGACATGTCGTCGGGCCTCCGCGCCGCCGACTTCCCCCGCTGGAAGCGCCACATCTCGGAGGAGCTGCGGCGCCGGGACCGGCTGCAGAGGCAGGCGTTTGAGGAGATTATCCTGCAGTGTAAGCGGCGCCTGCGGGCCCGGGCGCGGCGCGGGGCGGGTGGGAGAGCGGGGCAGACAGCGGAGCCTCGGCGCTCCCCGCGCCCACTGAGGCTGTCCGGGGTCCCCGCGCCTCTGATCGCCCCGCGCTTTTGTAGGTGCTTCCCTCCCTCCTCCGCTTTATCCTTGGAGGCGATTGGGAGGGTCTCCCCTACTAAGTTGTGTGTTCTTTATGGGCAGACACCGCACGTGTTAGTGTCTGTAAATCCCAGCAGCTAACACAGCGCGCATGCATTTAAATAGGCAGACGTCCCGTTTAGGTGATTGTGTTAACGAAGTCGGTACTAACTCCAGGAATTAAGTCGCCAAGTTAACATCCTTTTCTCAGTGTGAAAACTGAGCTCTTGTGGTGCAGTGGTTAAGCGCTGGGCTGCTAACCGAAAGATTGGCGGTTCGAACCCACCAGCCAATTTGCGGGAGAAAAGACCTGGCGATCTCCTTTGGTAAAGATTACTGCCTGGAATCCCTATGGGGCAGTTCTACTCTGTCCTGTAGTGTCGCTGTAAGTCAGAATGGACTCCATGGCAGTAGGTTCTCAGTGTAAGGAACGTTTGGCCTTTGATTCTTGTCTCAGACACTCAACCTTGGTGTTCTTTAATCTTTAACTGTTAACACATTTTGAGTCTTACCGTCCTTTTTTGCTGGGACGTCATAGTCTTTATGGTTATTGAAAACCTTCAGTGTGAAAGATGTGGTTTTCTTCCTTCACCGTTAAGGGAAGTTATTTTTCTGTAGAAAGTGTTTGTACTCTCAGATACATTGTAATGAGCATTTCTCTGCCTCACTTCAATTTTACCATAACTGATGATACAGTTGGGGAAAGTAGTGGCTAAGTCAATGCTTCCCAATCTTCTCTGCACATTAGAATCGCCTGAGGAGCTTTGAAAAATTACAGAGCCCCAGGCCACACCCCAGAGCAACTGAATCACAGTATTTGGGGGTGGGACACAGGCAGCTTTAGATGCTCCCTGAAGTGACTGTAATGTGCAGACAAGTTTGAGTACTGTGTTAAGTATTTGGCTTGTGTTGTATCGTTTTATTTTCTCCTGAATTCCATGAAACGTGCTGTTACTGCTCTTTTACACACAAGGAAACTGAGGCTGAGAGAGGTTAAGTAATGTTCAGGGCTAGATTTGAACTGAGGCTTGATGACTCTTACCTTTTGCATTTGCTTTTCTCACTGGATCCCCCAAGAAGTGGCCTTTGCTTTCAACTGAGCTCATCCTTCTTAACAAAAATAGGAAGAAAAAGGCGATGATGTGCCGCCATTGTGCTAATCCCTTGTACTCCTAAAGGCCTGCCAGACCAGTGCTGTTTCCGAAGCCAGAAGCATAGGAAGCCCTTCTTACTCATCCATGATTCCCTCATTCCATCAAATTCTTTGGGAATAAACCCATTTACTGGCTGCTGATCCTTTAAAAGATAATCCACATTGAAAGTCAAATTCCGTTGGAGGCCTAGCCCCACCCGTTACTAACCTTTCTGTGTCTGGTTTGCTACATCTATAAAATCGGAATGAAGCCTGCCCTGCCTGCTTCCTAAAACAGTGCTGTGCCGATAAGTGCTTTGAAAGCTGTCTGCATAACAGTGTATAAATGTAAAGTGTCTTTAATCTCACTGGCACAAATCGAATGTTTCTCTGCGCTGAGGAAGTGGACATCTTGATGGGGCAGGAAGATGGAGGAGAAATATTTGGGTCTGAGGGGAGGGGAGAGGAGACAGGGATGAAGGACAGTTAGGGGGCAGGAGTGCAAGACCACCTTTGTCTGTTATATACTTCTGTCTAGGCTGAGGGGTTGACTTTGGGGAAGTCACTTGTTGCCTACCTGTGGAACACTGCTGTTCCTCTCATTCTTGCCTTCCCAGGCTCGTCAAGTTCTGACCCTTCATCACCTCAGTCTCCCTGTTCAATCCCTGCCTCTGAGCCTGAAGACAAAGGTGAAGAGGTTGTGGGGGTGCTTCCCCTCACCTCCGGCCTCCTCTTCAGTGAGAGGAGCCTTTGGGAAGCGTCTGCCTTGAGTACCTCCTGCCCTTTGAAAGATCTAAAGCTATCATGAGGCACCCAGTGTTGGTACAACGTTTTGTAGCATCATTATAGCCCTTCGACACTGGAGAATTTGAAACTTGCTCTTGGTCATGAGAACCAGGGTTGGAACCACTTCCCTGTTCCCTGTTGGTGAAGAAGGTGGTTCTGTTTCTGCCCAGGAGTTCCGTTTTCAGGTATCAAGGAGAAGTGGAATTCAAAGGGAGCACCTCTGACAGGAGGAGTCACTAGCATAAACCCCATCGAAAGTTTGTTCTAGAAGCAGCTGTAATCTCAGACTTTTGGGATCCGTGGCACACACACCCATTCTGACTCATAGCAGCCCCCTTCCAGCATAGCTGTTCTACAGGGTCCCTGTGGTCAATTTCTCATTCTGTTCTGCAGCCCCCACTTACATCTGATCTCACTGTGTGTCTTTCCTCTCTAACTATATGTTCCTTCTAGCCTTGCCTTTTTTTTGAAAAGTTCCCTGCACTAGTGTTTCCTGTCAGATGTATGTTTCAGAAGCTTCCCTAAGCTCTGCCGCCTGTGCTTTCTGTCTGACATGTTGGCATCCTCTATGAACTTGCCTGAGCAGGGAAGGTCAGAGTAGCCTGTGACGTGCCCCCAGTCCAATCTGTTCATGTAACTGCCTACTCTGAAAATCTGGCATTTCACCATCTCTGGTAAGAAAAAGGCTAAATTTCTCATTCTGCCCTTCCCTTTGTATGTTGGCGCCAGCCTTTATTTTCAGCCACTTAACCAGACAACTCCGTAGTCCTTCCTGCCTGGACTGTCATTTTCCTCTAAGACCTCACTCAAATGTGACCACCTGTGAAACGATGTAAAAATGAGTAAAGAATCACTCTTCTCTGCACCTGTTTATGGTTGGCCCGCATTATATTTGAGCTCCTTGAGGTTGGAGACTGTCTCATTTAAGTTGTTAAATTTACCAAATTATAGTAAAGCTCTCCTGCGTTTCTCAGAGGTACATAACATTTCACTTTTCCATTGTTGTATTTGGTGGGTGGGGGTGGGGGTGTTTTAAACTCCTGAGGGAAAAACCAGTACTTTGGGGAGTAGAGGGTGATTGTGCCTGCCCTTAGTAGGGGGGACATTCCTGCAGGCATGCGCCCGTGGCTTCCTCTGGCTGGACTGTCCCTGCTTAGACAGGAAGCATCTGGGAATGTATGTTGGTGGATTTTGGACCATTGCTACAGTAGGTAACAGAGCAGGACCAGGTACTTTGATACCTAAAAAAGGTGAAACCTACCCAGTTTCCTACTGATATTCTTTTATTCCAAAGCTTTGTAAGATATAAAGTAGTGATAAAATATATATAAGTTACTATAAATAACTTATTTCCCTCTTTTTTTTAATAGATAACAAGTTGCTGGAAAAGTCAGATCTTCATTCAGTATTGGCCCATAAACTACAAGCCGAAAAGCATGACATGCCAAACAGGCACGAGATAAGGTATGTTGAAGCCCACCTCTGTGATTCGTGTCCCTTGAAATTTGTCTAGAAGTTCAGTTGCCACTTCTCTAATTTAGAAGCAAACCAAACCAAGTACTGTTTCTGTGCTCGGGTTTTTGCCAGCTCCTTTTAAATAAGAACCCAGTAATTAAACCCAGTAATTAAAACAATTTTTTTAAGGATATGTACATACCTGGTCGGCTTCATTAGTCCAAGGCATCATCAGCGCAGTGCTTTCAGCTTGCAGGATTTCTTAAAGCAGGTTTGATGGTAAGTCTCAGGCTTCTTCTAGCCTACCGGGGTTCACTTTTAAAAACAAAGACAAGTAACACCTTCTGAGGAGTTTTACCTTTATCTTGTTAATGTGGGATTGACTGGCATATGAACATAGCACTTTTTAAACAGTATGGGTCTATTTCATCCTTTTTTAGCTCACTGTTTTCAACATATTAATAGCTTGTGAAATCAAATTAGCGGTTTGCCTCAACCTTTTTGTATTTTTTAAGAAACAGGCTAGAAAAATATTTGTGCATTTTGATAGGAAGGGGAAGTTTTGCTTCATTAAATAATACAGATGTTTATGGTGGAAGGGTGGCTGTAAACTGTCTCTTACTGAGAATCATAGAAAAATCTGAAAGTCATGCTTTGTCTAAGCAGCTTAGAGGGTGTCATTCTGGAGTCTTGCTGTTCTCTTTTTTCCATACTGAAAATAATGTTTGTCATGTTTGCATATTAGACTTGGTGGTTTGTACAGGAACAGTACCTGTTATTGCTCTAAAGCCTGCATACACACTTTTTGCACGTTGGTTAACATTTAGCAGTTGTTAAACAAAGTTGATAGTAATTTAGGGTTTAAAAAACAAAACAGAAATGCTAGGCTTAGCTGACTATTTTGATAGCGTAATCTGCTATGTAATTACCTGCCACCCATGTTTTCTCATCTGGCAAGATGGATTCATGGTAGATGACAGAGGGGGGAAAGATCATAGAGAATGGTTGGTGTGACCCAGCCAGGTTTTGTTCTTCTGGAGTGACAGTCTGGTGGCTCAGGAGAGCTGGCTCGGCTGGGGCCCTGGGAAGCCTCTGCAGTATTTGAAATATTAGTTGCAGTGCTCTGGCTAATATTAGCTGTAGATAATGCGATTTCATTCTTTTCATCTAAATTCAGTCGATTGAAAACTCAAAACATTTTATTTCTATACGGTTTATTTCTGTCTTGGTGACTGTATTCCCAGACCCTTTATCTTTCACCCAAAGTCATTTGCTTAGAAAGGTACTGTAAATAAATCTGGAACAATCCTGCTGAGTGAATTTCACATAGTCCCTGCTCTCAAGGAACCTCCTCCAGGGGTTGTTTGTTGCTTTTGTTAGTTGCCAGCAAGTCAGTTCTGGCTCATGGTGACCCCATATGTGCAGAGTAGAACTGTTCCCCAGGGTTTTCAAGGCTGGGACCTTTTGGAAGCAGATCGCCAGGCTTGTCTCCCCAGGCTTCTCTGGGTGGTTTGAACCGCCAGCCTTTCCGCTAAGTAGTTGAGAGCTTAACCATTTGCACCACCCAAGGACTCCTGTGGGTGTTTGCTAGAGAAACATGCTGAGCATGCTCACAGAAGATAGGCATCTCATCAGTTTCCTCCTCCCTCCTTCCTTCTGTCGTTCTCTGGAGCTTGTTAGAAATGTAAACTCTTGGGCCCCATCCCAGACCTGCTGACTCAGAACCTCTGGGGGTGGGGCCAGCACGCTGGGTTTTAACAAGCCTCCAGGTGTCTCTGATGACCACCAGGTTTGAGAACCTTAAAACCCATTGCTGTCGAGTCGATTCTGACTCATAGCGACCCTATAGAGCAGGACTGCCCCGTAGGGTTTCCAAGGAGCGCCTGGTGGATTCGAACTGCTCACCTTTAGGTTAGCAGCCAAGCTCTTAACCACAGCGCCACCAGGGTTTCCTTGAGAACCTTAGTTCTCCGCTGTTCCAAGTCCTTGTGAACGAGCAGCGTTCATATCACCTGAGAGCTTCTTAGACATGCAGATTACTGGGCCTTGCTGGGAAAGCAGATTACCAGCCCTGATGCAGACCTACCGAGTCAGAGTCTGGTGGGGAGGCCCAGCAATCTGGGCTTTACCAAGCCCTCTGGGGAACTCTTTTGTCCAGCCTTGCCCAGCGCGGTTTGACTTTTATTATGAGGAAAATAGGGAGTCAGAGGTTGTGAGCAGTGGAGTGACTGCCGGAGTCCTCCTGGCTGCTCTGATGTGAGTTCTCGGTCCTGGTTGTAACTTGAGGTTTGAACATTTCTTCCTGTGGCCCCTCTTCTTACCTAAGTCGCACCCTCCTGGGAGACCCAACTCCACTGCCACTTCTCTGAAACCCCTCCCAAACCAAAACATCCGTGCCCAGGGAAGTCTCTCCTGCTGCTGAACCTAGTGACTGCTTCTGTCCCTACTTTTCTTTGATACGCGTTTGTTTCTCTTCGTATTTTCTTTTCGTGACTCTCTTCTCTAAAATACCAGCTCCTGGAAGAAGAGACCTCTCATACTTTATGTATTCCATGCTGCTTTGCATTAAATTGAGGGATTTTAAGGTTATTTCCTCATTTTCTTTTATCGTGGTAAATATATCTGTAACAAAACATTTGCCATTTCAACCTTCTTGTGTACAACATAGGGACGTTAATTGTATTCATCGTGTGGTGCTAAATTGAGGAAATAAGATGTTTTCGAATTACCTAATTGCGGATGCGTTCATGTAATTGTTCCACTTTCCAATCTGGTGCTTCTTCTTTGTGGGTTAAGATGGGGAAGCACCTGGTGGCCTCAAAGGATGACGTATTAGTACGTGTTTAGAGCGTGTAATGAAAACGCCTGTAGAGACGGAGGGCAGAGTTAGGAGAGAATATTGTGCTGCCCCTTGTTTCTGTGTCTGGTTTACTCTTGGCTACATGGGGTGATGTTCCCCCCCAACCCACCACCCCTCCGCCCCGGTAGGGCTGGGTCTCGGTCTTCTGGCCTTCCCCCTCTTCTCCATCCGTGCTCTCCCCAGGTGCTGATTTTTGCTGCCCACTGCAGCCTGATAATCCTCCTCTGTAGTTCTGGTCGAGACCCCTCTTCTGAACTGTAAATCCACAGTTCTTGCCACTTGCTGCTATGTCTGAGATGCTATGCAAACGCATGCCTGCTAAGCTTCCAAAACCGCAGGGACTCTTGAGGTGCTCTTAACTGAGTCCCATGGCTTCAGTCATCTTTGATGACAACGTCTACATGTAAGCCTGGAACTTGGACCTCTTCTTGAAGTTCAGACTCTGGTGGCCAACTTCTCAGCATAGCCTGTGTGTGGTTGACATGTCCACTTGGATGTCTGACACTGAACTCTCAAGTCTTCCCCAAAACCCACTCCTTCCACAGTCTTCCCCAGCCCAGCAGGTGACACTGCATTGTATCGGTTGAGCAAGCTGAAAGCCTTGGAGTCATCCTCGACTCCTGTCTGTCTTTCATACTTCACATCCAGTTTGAAAGCAAGTCCTGTCAACTCTCTCTAAAAAATGTATTTAGTGCTACCCACGCCTCCTCACCTCCACTGCTCCCCGCTTGGCCTGGGCCACACCATCTCCTCTCTGGACTTGCTGTGGCCCGCTGACCCATGCCCCCTCTCTGCCCTTGCCCACTGCAGTCTGTTCTCCATCCGGCAACGATAGTGATCCTTCTAACACGCAGGTTGTTCCTCTGCTCACAACCCTCCAGAGGCTTCCCCGTCATGCCTCGTAAAGGCCAAAGTCCTCAGAGGGACCTAGAGGATGCATCATGGCCCCCTGCCCCTGCCCTGGGGCCCCAGTCACAAAGTCCCCTGAACACACGGCCATGCCACCTCTCCAGACTTTTGTCCTGCTATTCCCTCTGCATAGAAGGGTCCACCTGCAGGCATCCACGCAGCTTGTTTCTCACTGCTTTCTAGTCTCAGTCACCTTCTCGGAGAAGCCTGTCTCTCTCTTCCCTTCCTTTCCTGGTTTGTTTCTCCTCATGGCACGTGGGGCCACCTGGCATCGTCCGTCTACCTGTTATGATCCGTCTTCCCTGAACCACCTGAAAGCTGCCTGAGAGCAGAGCTCTGTGTTCACGCTGTGCCTCCAGCACTGAGAATTGCACCCGGCACAGAGCTCGTACAGAGACACCCGTCCAGGGCGAGAGCCCCGCTGCCCTCTGGCTTCACCTGAACTTCTTTCCCGCTCCCACTTCCTGACACCAGTAGGCCTTTTCACTGTGCGTCTCACACTTCCCAGTTTCTGCTTCGGGTCTGTCAGGGCCAATGTCTGCAGCTGCCCAGAGAGATGAGATTGCGCAGTTGGCTGTGTGGTCACGTCCACGTTTGAATGCTGACCTGTGTTCCGGCGCCTCACTGAGGAGGTCTGGGGCCTGACTTTTTTCCCCTCCCTTTTGTGCCCATTCTCTTCCTCTGCCTGGTTTGGGGATTTAGTCCTGGACATGATGGCGCCTGGAATGACAGTCAGCTGCAGGAAATGGCCCAGCTGAGGATTAAACACCAGGAAGAGCTGACGGAATTACACAAGAAACGTGGGGAGGTAAGGAGAGTCACTTTCCTCGCCTGTGTGAGAGTCCGGAGGGGACACGGGTGACAGCTGGAGCTCTTGTCTCCTCATGCAGTGAAGTGGAGGAGGGGCGGGGGTGCTGCCCCGAGAAGTTGTAGCAGTCCTAATCAATTTCCATCACAAGCTGTGCTTCTGGGGATCAAACAGTGGGGGAAAGACCAGGAAAGATGAGGCTCATCAGCAAGAGGGCGAGCCAGTGAAGTGACCCTAGTCATCATGCCCACAGATGGCATGGAAGGTGCACATGGAGAACCTTGAAAGGGAAAACAGCTGCTGCATGGTGCGCCAGAGGTTTTCCTAACACCCCAGGCCACATGGGTGGAGAGTGATTTGAGGGAGGTTCTCAGAAAGCTGTTGAGTGTGGACCTTGAAATGTCAGAAAAATGCCTTAGAATCGAGGCTGTGTTTACCCTGAATGGTGGTCTCATGGCAAAATTCTTGTTGAAAAAATACTGCTTACCATCAGCGGTCGGCTGAAGTAGGCCTCCAAACAGGTGGCTGAAGTCAGGGCTGCAAAGATGTCCTCCGTGTGAACTCAGTGGTCCACTAGAAGCCCCCCCACCCCTTTGTTTTTAATAAAGTAATGCCACTCATTGCTGTCAAGTCAATTCTGACTCTTTAACGACCCTGTGGAGCCCTGGGGGCACAGCAGTTAAGAGCTATGGCTGCTAACCCAAAGATCGGCAGTTCAAATCCACCAGCCGCTCCTTGGAAACCCTATGGGGCAGTTCTGCTCTGTCCTGTAGGGTTGCTGTCAGAATCGACTGGATGGTAGCAGGTTTGGTTTGTTTTTTTGTTTTTTTTTAACGGCCATACAGGACAGGGTAGAACTGCCCCATAGGGTTTCCAAGGCTGTAATCTTTACCAAAGCAGACTGCCACACCTTTCTCCCACAGAGTGGCTGGTGGGTTTGACCCACCGATCTCTTGGTTAGTGGTTGAGCACTTTAACCCCTACACCAGCAGGGCTCCTTTAATAAAGTAATAGCCACCATTATTTTGTCTCTAAGCGGGATCCTGAAACCTCTTACTCGTGAACGTGTGCTTTGTCCCCAGCTAGCTCAGCTGGTGATTGACCTGAATAACCAAATGCAGCAGAAGGACAAGGAGATACAGACGAATGAAGCCAAGTGAGTAGCAGTGATGGGTCGTGGGCCCCAGGTGCTGCTGTGCTGGGCTCTCCAGCCCAGTGAGGGACAGCAGTGACCACACGGGACACCAGAAAACAAGGGCTTTGTTTCAGTGAGCGCACAGTCTGGGGTCCTCCTCCCAGCCCCCAGCAGACTCTAGGGGAGGTAAGCTTACCCCTGGCATGTGTCCCAGAGGCGGTCACTGCTCTCCCTGGGGTCACTGCACAGGGACCCCATGATGGATGACGGACCAAGCTGTCTGAGGTGGTGGGGTTGGGAGCAGGGGTGGGAGTTTGTTCTTGATGGAGAGAAGCCTGGCAGACATGGTAAATGGGCTCAGAGCCTAGGATGTAGGCCTGGAGGGAAGCTTGAGTTTCGTCTGTGCCTTTTTCTTCAATATGCAGAGAGGGACCTAGAGGCTTTGGCAGGCAGAGGGCGTGCTCAGGCATTCTCCCTCAGTTAGCGGTGTAGCTGGGATTCCCAGCCTCCACTTTAAGCCCCTTCTACTAAAACTTACGCTCTTCCGAAAGGAGCTTTTACTAGTTACTCGTACACCACCACCTGTTGTCGTCGAGTCAACTCCGACTCACGGCGACCGCACGCTCCACAGGTTTTTCAACGGCTGATTTTTCAGAAGTAGATCGCCAGACCTTTCTCAGGATGGATTTCATCCTATGTGTTACCTCTCCTAGTGGGATTTTCCTGGGAAACGCTAGGGTTGGGATGGCGAAGGGAGGCGTCCTGAGCATGAAGTGGTTCGCGTGCCCGTGGTGGCTGCTGTTGTGATGGTTGGCCAGGCTCCCCGGCTCCGGTGCAGGGCCCTTATGCCGTCCCCCTCCTGCATGTCCTGCTGTCAGAATTGCAGAATGTTTGCAGACCATCTCGGACCTGGAGGCGGAGTGCCAAGAACTGTGCGGTAAGCTTCAGGACCTCGAGAGAGTCAACCAGACCCTGAAGGATGAATACGATGCCCTGCAGATCACGTTTACCGCCCTGGAGGAGAAGCTGAGGAAGACAACTGAAGAAAACCAGGAGCTGGTCACCAGGTGGATGGCCGAGAAGGCCCAGGAAGCCAACCGCTTGAACGCAGAGAATGAGAAGGATTCGAGGTAGGCTGTCCACTGCTGGGGGTCTCCATTTTAGTGAAGTAGAACTTGTTCTTTGAAAGTAGAGAAGCTTGGCAGCTCCACTTGCAGGGGAAAATCAGAAAAACACAAAGTCGGAGATATCTAGAGCAGGTAGAAAAGAGGTGTGCATTTATAGAAGTGCTCACACAGCTGAGCAAAAGATTACTCCTCCAAAAGGGCTTTGGCCCATCCTTTTTTTGCTAGTGAATTCTTTCAGTGTTTTGAGGAGGAAAGTGAATTCTTGATTATATGAATTAAACGAGGAGATAGAAAAAGATTGAAAGCTCCCCTCCCTAACCCCAGTAATTTTGTGAAGCTATTGAAACCTGTAGCAAAAATTCTGGTTTTGCTAGTGCATCCCAATCTTATGTGAACACAGATGTGAAATTCCTAAATCAAACTTAATAAAAATACTCCCTCTCTAACCAACAGCCAGTAGGATCCTTAGCAAGGAAACTTCCCACCTAGATATATGTTTAACAGCTCCCGCGAGAGTCTAATAGACCTGTGGTTAAGGTCTACTGTCCCACCATTAAAACCAGGAAGCAGAGGAAGGGCCAGTGTTGGGAAGAAGAGGGAATCGTGGTTATCCACCTAGAAAATCTAAGAGAATTGACCGAAAAACTGTCAACCAGGCTTCAACATGATTACAGCATATTTTTAAAAATCCCCATGTGAGTAGTTTAGAGATGATTCCCATTAATCTAAAAAAACGAATGAATGAAAATAGGAGACTTTTTTTTTTTAATATTTTATTGTACTTCAGGTGAAGGCTTACAGAACAGATAGTTTCTCATGTAACAGTAACACACATGCTGTTTTATGACATTGGTTAACAACCCCACA